ATATAGGCCTGTACATATATGTATGTATCATTAATATACAAGAATCAATTATCATGCGAAGAGAATCGTTTTGAATTAAAAAATTACAAACCCTTCACCCGATTATAATAATAAAAACAATATATATACAAATGACAGATAGAATAGAAATTGTCAACTCACCCGATCGTTGGAATATGCGTATGAAATCAATCCGAAAATGCTGCTCAAGATCAAGCATCCACCAACTAGGGGTGTCCAAGACTATAATTATGGTAAAACAGACAAATCTTTTAAAACAACACATTAATACTGCAAAATTAAATTGTTTTTAATTGTTCAATCTTTTATAAATAGACCTATACATAGAGTGAAATTGATTTATTGAGTTACTGCTTAATTGATTTAATCAGTTGGTTATACGATTGATCGATTGATCTGCTGGATTGATGGATGGATGGATACACAGATGGATAGAACTATGAATGAATGTATAGATATATTGATGGATGGATGGATGGATGGATAGATAGATGGATGAACCGTTCGATGGAACAATGGATAGAACGATGAATAGATAGGCCTACATAGATGGATAAATAGGTAGAAAGGGCAAGAGGATAGCCAAGAATAGATAGATGGATGGAGGAATTGATGAGGTATAAGGACTGTCAACTCACAACTCGTCAGACCACAAAGGTAAACTTTTCTGTTTCCTTCATTATTTAGGTACAATAGGATAGGCCACGTTATACAACGTGCCAATTGCTATGTTTGTCTGAGCTCCAGGGGAATAGCCCCATCCCCCAGTTTGCTGACGCTCCAATTGATCTGCTGGATTGATTGATGGATGGATAGACAGATGGATAGAAATATGAATGAATGGATATTTAGATTGGTGGATGGATGGATAGATGAATGGAACAATGGATAGAAGGATGAATAGATAAGCCTATATAGATGAATATGGATAGATAGGTAGAGAGAGCCCGGAGGACAGATGGATGGATTAATGAATGGATGGATTATAAGGACTGTCATCTCACAACTCGTCAGACCACAAAAATAATTTTTTCTGTTTCCTTCATTATTCGGGTCACGGTATAAAACGTGTCAATTGCTTTATTTTTCTTAGCGCCAGGGGAATATCCCCATCCCCGGGCTTTGCTGACGCCTCGCGTCGGAAACTGTCAGACCAGCCCTGTGATCATGGGGCGCCATGACACATCCCCTCACCCACACGTTCTTAGAGGGGTTTGGTCTCCGACTTTTCTACCGTAATGTAATTAAAAGTCAAGAAGATGATTTAAAATTGTTGAAATGAACTACACATTATTGATCACGATTTTACGAAGAGAGCGCTACAGCCACTGACGAGAGAGATGTTGAGCGACTCCTGACCACACCCACCTACGCTCTCGCCAGATCCCCGTCAGGCAAATCCTGGCGCCACCCCTGGTGTGGAGTCTCGATCGATTGTTCCCAATCTTTCAATATATATCTGCGCCCTTGCGCAGTGTGTGTCACAATCAAAGAAGATCAATGTTATGATTATTTAAACAAATCCCATATATTTTTAACAAAAATAATCTAAAATATGATTAGGTACGAAGGAAGTTACTATCGCATACCCGTATGTATGCACGAGCCATCTATCCATCTAGTAGCATAATTTCCGTCAACTGCTTTTTCAGGTATTCCGCCTGAATATAGTGTACTCTGAGTAACAGGTTTCCTCCTCGATAACAGATCGCCTAAAAAGCACAAAATATCAATGTTCTTAGAGAGAGAGAGAGAGAGAGAGAGAGAGAGAGAGAGAGAGAGAGAGAGAGAGGGTGGTAGGGGTGGAAGAGAGAAGGAAGAAAGGTGATTAAATGCGTTCTAGCTTCATTTTCTTTTAATCCTGTGGCACGAGGCCTACCTGTACTTAAAGAAGAGATCAGTTAGCATCAGTATCATGATAACGATTATTTCTCCAACGATGGATTTGAAATAGGCTCTTCAGCACATGAATGGAGAACATAAAACTTTACCTCTTGGCCAGGCCAAATGAACTGCTTTTGATAGGAAATATGATTCATGAGCCTCCACCATTCACCCTCTCCCCACATTTGATGGCAGTGGTTCAGAAAGTGTTTGTACATCTTTCACGAGCCACTTCATTGTCCCTTTTTCTTGTTGTTACTATTTTTCATTGTAATTCGTTCGTTTATTTACATAATTTTTTTTTGTTTTTCTAAGGAACCACAACACATAAATCATTTTCTTTCATAAATGATAATCTTTAGCTCTTTACATTATCTCTCTTACAATTTAATTAGTGAAAATGATAAATAAATATTTACAATATTTCTTTTCACAATTTTTTTTTCTTTCTACAGAATTTAACATTCTTATACAGAAATCATTTATATAAAATAATAATAATAATAATAATAATAATAATGATAGTAATGATATTAATAATAATAGTAGTAGTAGTAGGCCCAGTAGTAGTAGTAGTAGTAGTAGTAGTAGTAATAATAAGAATAATAATAACAATAATAATAATAACAATAACAATAATAATAACAAGAGCACTTAGTAGAGAGCATATTTCTCCCCTCAAATGCACACCTGAATTTGGATCGTCACCAATACTTTATAATTTCTTCCTTGTAAGCTGCTTAAACGTTCATGAATGTTTTATTCGGATAGGTTGATTCGTTTTTGAAATACCTGGGTTGTGACGTTTTCATTTGAATGTTCCTCATATCCACACCCTACTCCGACGGATTGCGACCAAAATTTAATCACCTCATCTTTGGGTCATACCTGACAATCCCGGTAACTTCCATTTAAGATCTATGCAGCTGTTTTTGAGATATTTTGAACACAAGAAACACGTACGACCTTAAAAATTTAAATGAGATATCTTGGACGTTTGCTCTAAAATCCCTTTAAATGGCTCTCACATCCACACCATACTCCGGACCGTCACCAACATTTAATAATTTCTTCAGTTATGTAATTTTCAGTTATGTCACCCGAGAGATGGAGATCCGTTGACCCTGAACCACTTACTGTTACTAAGAAGCATCCAGATTCACCTGTTGTCAAGTACTTAATAAAGCAGATTCATTTGGGAAAAGGTAGTACCAGACGCAAAATATTTAGCATCGGTATTCTGGCTGAGATGGCGATGGAGAATAGCCATCCCACCCTCCACCCTACTAAAAAGTCACAAAAATAGAGGAAACCAAACGAAAACTTAAAGATTGATGACATAGTTATGCTAATCGGTGATGCTACACTGAACACGAGGGAGATGCTACATGGTAGAGTAGTATGTGTAGGTCTATATCCAGGGAGAGATATAAACTTCGTCATGTCGGCTAGATGTTAAAGTTGTCAGCAAAACGTTGAAAAGGCCTATTGCTAATTTGTGTGTTATAATGTCCAGCTTGGGCCCGGAACAGTAATTGCCACCCGTGTAGACATGTTATGAACAACATAGTACGTTATACGTAAATTAGCCAAACTCACCAAGCTATATATGTTTAGTTATTAGATTTAAAATTACCTATTGTTGCAGTTATAAGTATTTGACAGGCTTGACAGCTTGCTTGTTAAATAACACAATCAAGCGATTCAAGTACTGTACCGTAATTATTACAAGTTGAAATTTAATCTTCCGTTACTATGCAAGGCAATATCAAACCAGTATTTTTTGTATTTAATATATCGACGTTACCATCATTTTACTAGATTAGATAGTTATACGGAACAACAAGATAAATACACAGCAAGTTAGCTTTATTATTTGAAGTTGAAGTTAGAATGCTATACTCCATGGTTTATTGACTGTTTACCATACTCATGAGTAGTTTGTTAGATTCATTATAATGTTCTTTCTTAAGTGTCATATTACTTGAATATGACTGAGTTGTTGTTGGGTTATATATTTCTCTTGATTTGTATGTTATAACCATTGAGAAGAAGAAGCTTAGAATAAGTCGCCTTGGAAAATTATTGTCCTACTGAGGTAGCAGTTCAATATGGGTGGGTATGTAAGTGACGTTATCAGAGGACATTATTCATTCAATGGGCCCTCTGTGTTGAAAAGTTGTTAGCCTATTATTGTATTTTTACCACACTTTACACGGTAGTCTCTTTGTCCACGTTATCAGACACCGTAAAACATCCTGCAAATGTATTAGGTGTTACTCTTCACCGAATATTAACTAACTATGCACTCAGTTGTGTCAGTCGTGATAAGAACTAAATCAGTAGCATGGCATTCCTACGGTTCTTATCCACTTTCCTGTCAATGTACGAGTCTGTTCTTAGTCTTATTTACAAAAATGTAATGCCTCCAGCTGCATACGTATTCATACATACAAGATAATAAATATAGATACATTACATACATACATCCACACCCTACTCCGACGGATTGCGACCAAAATTTAATCACCTCATCTTTGGGTCATACCTGACAATCCCGGTAACTTCCATTTAAGATCTATGCAGCTGTTTTTGAGATATTTTGAACACAAGAAACACGTACGACCTTAAAAATTTAAATGAGATATCTTGGACGTTTGCTCTAAAATCCCTTTAAATGGCTCTCACATCCACACCACACTCCGGACCGTCACCAACATTTAATAACTTCTTTATTGGGTTATATTTAACACTCCCTGTAATTTTCAGTTATGTCTCTGCAGCCGTTTTTGAGATATCTCGTACACACACACACACACAAAAAAAAACAAAAAAAAAAACAAAAAAAAAAACACCAAAACACCAAAACGTGACACACACACACACAAACTTAAACGACGGAAAACATATATCTACTGTCGGAGATAATAAGAATAATTATGCATATTAAAGGCTGCTCTTTACCAAAGTCTCACAGCACTTAAAACTTATATAACTATGGAAAAAAATATTTAAAAGTCTTACCTGCACTTACGTCTCGAATAAACAGGAATATCATAACATTAACTTCTGTAAACAAGCTAACATTCAACATAGTGCTGTAGGGATGAAACACAATCGGGCTCTATGAAGAGTGTTACTTGAAGGCTGTCATTCGTAATAAGAACCTTGTCAATGTGTTTGGTAATTATAGTTGTGATCCCATCATTCATTGATACCACTATGCAATAGAGTAATCTGCATGAATTATAATGTACTAAATTGTCAAAATTCGATCCAGTATTTTAACCGGTCGTAAAATGAGTAATAGCTATTATAGTCTACACGAATTTGTCATCAATATAAAGCAATAAATGTTTCATAGTAAATAAGACTAAAGGCCTGTTTATACTTCAACGATAACGATAAAAAAAAATGCTAAAAAGCAATTGTTTATATAGAAATAAAAGAAATAAGAGAAGTTTTTACACTAGAACGATTCGATAACGATTAATCAGTTATGCAATAACAGCATATTTTGACAAATCAAATCAGATGACGTCATAATCATGGAAAGATAACGTCATAATCATGGAAAACATTAAAAGTGTAGTGTGTATAATGATTTTATCGTTTTTCCATGATTATGACGTCATCTGATTTAATTTGTTAAAATATTTTGTTATCGTATACACGATAAATCGTTATCGAATCATCCTAGTGTAAAAGTTTCTCTTATTTCTTTTGATTTCTATATGAACATTCGCGTTTTTAGCTTTTTTTTTATCATTATCGTTATCGTTGAAGTATAAACAGGCCTTTAGACCTAAAAATATCGAAATTCCAAGAATCAATGGCTGTTTTTTCTACACAACAGAGTAGCCAATGTCAAAAAGACTTATATATACTATATTAGAACATGGTTTAATACGCATAAATAACGATGAAGATGGAAGAATACATGCCGTCATATATGTTTACCTTATGTATTTATTCCTCACATATTGTCTACTAGTTGCATTGTTGCCTTTCGCTACGTTAATAAATTCCTAGATCCATAAAATCGCCATACGCTATATCGCCGTATGGAAAGCCGTTCTTCATTTACTCCTGAATTACAGTTAAGTGAAATGTATTGCCCTTGTGCAATTCATTCCACGTAACTGTAATACAATACGCTTAAGTGCGGCATTTAATTAAACTTAAGTTCAATTCAGTTACACTTAAGTACAATTCAGTTTATTTTGATTGACATTTTGATTTCGATTTACGTTAAATTGATTTAAAGTTCAGTGTAAAGTTGTTTCTATTATGTATAACTGGAATTAAGTTTAACTATTAAGTTGATTGCATTTCAAGTTAAGTGCAAATGAACTGCACTTAAGTGTAATTAAATTCAAGTAAGTGTATTGAATTCTACTTATGTGGAACGTAATTTGGTCAGTCCATGATGGTCGGTATTTACATAGTGAACATAAAGTTGTTGTATATAGTAATGTTAATAGAATTGGAGCGACGTTTGATAAACTGTTACCCTGCAGAAAATTGCTAACTATAACTAATCGTGTGGATGGAAAAACATCCAGAGCCAATGCTGATGGACGTTCCAAAACATTCTTTTTTAATTATGTGAATGTGATTGGTTGATTTAATATTTTTCAGAGGATAGAAAAAAATTATTCCAATGAAGGCAAGGATTGAAATAAAATCCTTGATAAAGTTGATTTACCTGAAAATAAATTTTATCAATTATTTTAATTGTATTGTATACTGAAACGTAACAAAATATATAGACTGGGCCCTTACTTACAAAAAGCATGTTCACCTACCTAGGCATAGGTTGGCAGATCGGACAAACTAGGCTTAGCCCAACGGGTGTCTATAAAACGAAGACCGAAGACCCAAAAACAAAGACCCCTATTTTTCTCTTTTACTTTGATGATAATATGCCAGCCTGTCACAAAATCAAAATTATGAAATATTTTGGGCGTCTGTTTGTCTTCGTTTTATAGACACCCTATATGGGTGTATACAAAACAAGACCGAAGACCCGAATAAACGAAGACCTCAATTATTTCTCAATTATCTTATTGAAAGTATTTCAAAATCATCATAAAACAGTTGCCAAGTACCTATTTCATTATTTCATCGGAATAAAATGAGGAATATCAAGAAAAACTTAAGGGTCTTCGTTTTAGACACCCTGGTGTCTATAAAACGCGTTTTAGACACCCTGGTGTCTATAAAACGCACATATGCGTCGCTATACAGCATTCCTAATGTTTATTTTAAAATGGAACAAGTTTATGAATAAAATATTCAAGACACCCTGGTGTCTATAAAACGAAGACCGAAAACCAGAAATACGAAGACCCACATTTTCAGCACATTATTACCTGAATCTGAGTCAATTTAATGATTTATTATTCCAGTTTCAAAGCGGCAACAATGTTGTACGTCCACGGCTGGTGGCAGAGCGCATCTTGGCGCTGCTACCCTCTAAACGAAAGTAAGGCTTGGCTGGCGGTACGCGTATTTTGGGGGGTCTACAAAAACTTTGAATATTTTATTCATAAACTTGTTCCATGTTAAAATAAACATTAGGAATGCTGTATAGCGACGCATCGGTCACACTGTGACCACTGCTTGGGATTTTTAATGACACCTTGGGATCTTGGGATTTTTAATGACACCTTGGGATCTTGGGATTTTTAATGACACCTTGGGATCTTGGGATTTTTAATGACACCTTGGGATCTTGGGATTTTTTATAAACTTTTCATTAAATCTTGGGATTTTTTGGAATGATATGGAATCTTCATTTTTTTTTAAATCAAATAAGTGAACAAATAGGCTGCTAATGACCTTTATAACACCATAGTTGTCAATTGTGATTGAGGGCTATTTATTTGTTCAAAAAGACTAGACCTATATGTTTTTTTTTCAATTCTTCTGATAGTCATTTTAATAATTTTTCCAAAATAATAAGGTGCATTTTTAAGCTAAATCTCTTGATATGTTTCCCATATATGCCGTTTGCTTCTGTACCTAGGCTAGGGTAGTAAAGTTAAGCAAGAATATGGCACCTAGATTGCCAGGAGATCTCGCACCGTTTCAAACTTTGCAAATTCTTTTAATTGCGTTTTAATTTGAAAATTAAAAATTCAATAAAATTCATCGAAAATACTTCACTCTTAAACTATAAAAATCATCGTTTTTTTTCTAATAAAGTGTGAGTTATGCTAGTGGAATATTTCCTGTGTATTACAAATAAAATAAAGGCAATTGCCATATCATTTTTTATGTATATGATTGTAATTGAGATAAGACATTTCCCTCCCTAACTTCAGAAAATTATGCAGAGTTGAATCAAAATGAACGAGTTGGTCTAAACAATCCAGACATTGTTTCGTTCTGCAGTACAATATACAGTAATGCAATTCATTGGAAAAGCTTTAAAATTGGACTTTTAAAAGAAGTTGTATAGGGGGGGGGGGGGGCTATATAAATACTAATATTTTGCAAATCTTGGGATTTTTAGTGTAGTGACACCAACAAACATAGGATGGATGAGATAATTATAGGTCTTCGTTTTACAAGACCCGAAAAACGAAGACCCACATTTTTTTCCTCTCAATCGTGAAATAATGAAATAGGTACTTGGCAACCGTTTTATGATATTTTGAAATACTTTCAATAACATAATTAAGAATTAATTGGAGGTCTTCGTTTTTCGGGTCTTCGGTCTTTGTTTTGTAGACATCCATGGGTGTCTATAAAATGAAGACCCTTGAAAATTTCACAAACAGACGCCCACAAAATTTCGTAATTTTGCTTTTGTGACAGTCTTGCGTATTAGGCCTATCATCAAAATAAAAAAGAAAAAATAGAGGTCTTCGTTTTTGGGTCTTCGGTCTTCGGTCTTCGTTTTATAGACACCCTAGCCCATGGCACTTTCAATTAAATACAATTAAAAACACTGTTTTTGGCTCGACGTCGTAATATGTACGAAAGTGTGTTCTTCAGGCCTATTTTATCGACCTATATATAAGAAAGACTACGTATCCAACTACTCAATATTTTTGAAATATAGGCCTAATTAATGCATTGACTATATCTTTGATTTTCTTGTATGGTATAGGCCTAAGAATGAGATAAATCACCTGACCTTTTTTAAAGAGGGGTAAAACCTAGAATTTTCAAGAAATTAAAGGTCATTAAAGACACCTCAAAAGTCGGAAAAGCTCATTTCCGGCTATCTAGAAATCAACATTTTCCCGGGGGAGGACCCCCGTCCCCCCTTTCATTCTCGGGTTTCTGGGATGTGAAGTAGTCCTATTTCGAATCCAAGGATCCGCTACTGTTTAAAGTTGTACTTCTGTGGCATATCATTTACCTATAACCGTATTGTTAGAATATCGATAGTAGTACATTTGACATGTCCTGAGGGGTCAGCGAATGCAAAAAGTTATATTTAGTGCAACAGAATAACATATGTTTTAAGTGCAACAGAATAACATATGTTGTAACTATATCGTCAGTTACTTTATCGTGGGTAAATTTCTAATTCTAGTAATTTCCAAATGAAAACTATTAACTTACATACAAGTAAGCAATCAATAATATATTCAATTCAATTTATTAGGAACTACACTTTTCAATCAGTGGCACACTTCTCATCAATAGAAGGTGCGTCCAAAACAATACAGTGGAAAGTAGTAAAAAAAGAGTCTTATATGCTAAGAAAAAGACAATTCAAATTTTCAAAAGGGACAAAGGTAAAGTAAAAAAAAAAAAAAAAAGAAACTGTTCAGTCATGTAAAAAACTTAAAAGTAATCTCAAACAAAAAACTTAAGGCAAAATAAAGTGATGCAATATAACACACATGAATTATACAAGCGCCATACAAACGTACATGAAGTACATACATAATATATTATATGATTTATTTTCTTCTATTTTCTAGCCTCGCTCCAGACATTGTTTAATATTTTACCCGTTTAAAAATATATACTTTTAGTTTTATAGGCCTATAGATATTTGGAAGTCTCTTTAGCTTTCTGCTCACAAGTTAATAAAACAGAAATTTAAGGACAGACAGGCCTAATAAAGACCCCTTCTTCTCCAATTTGTTCATTGGTCGAGGGCGATTGAGGGGGCGCTCACTCAAGCATAATACCGCATGCGCACGTTTTCCTGTCGGGATGATCTGAGAGACCTTTAAATTTGTCAATACTGTACAGTATTGTAACGAAATAATTGATCGGCAAGCCAGCGTTGGTTGCCTATGTTTTCTATCAACGCTTCCAAAGGCATTGCTTATCCTTTCAAGTATCAGTACAAAATCTACACATCTATTCAAACTGGAATGTGCGCACGATTTAGGTTAGTTCTTAGGCCCTTAACTAGGCCTAGCCTTTTTCTTAGCCTACTCAGACGTCTTTGTCAACATGACTATAAATCGACTTGGTCTTCTTATTACTCCTCCTTCCTAGGCTATGCAATGTGGGCTGGGCTAGACGCATAATATTTATTATTAATGATAAGCCGCCTTCTGCTAAACAACCACGCATGCACAGGGCCTAGATAGTATTGGAGGTAGACCTCAAGTAGCCTAGGAGAAGGCATATGTCAGGCTGTGTGAAAATAACACTAATTAGAATGGATGGTGGAACTTTACTGTCTAGGCCTAACTGAGCTAAAGCTAAACATATTCTTGTTAATAGCCTTTTAATATTTCTACCACACTAACCATATTATGTTTATACAAATACAAATTAGCATCTTAAGCTGAACAGAAAATTTTGTAGATTTTCAATCTATATATTAAACATGATTTAATAAAAACTATATAAAAAATATATGATACAGTAAAAATTTCATACTTAAAATTTACAATTCACAATACAAACATATCTATACAATAATAAATATCAACAAAATCATCAATTCACGGAAGTGCCAAGGATTTGCACGACCCCTGTGTCCCAACATAGGGCAGACTCCGCAACAAGAGCGTAAGTGTATGTTATTCCCCAACGAATTGTGATTAGTCTCCCAGACGAAAGGGGGAGAGGGCAGCTCTCCCCGACAGGCCCCCACTAGTGCCATTCATGACAATTCGTAAGTACTGTATACAAATTTAATAATTCATTAACAAGCAAAAAAAAAAAAAAAAACATTCCATGTAAGGCAAACTTCAAACATTTAAAAAATGTAAAATTTTTATTTAACATTAGATTAACTTGATTCTCCGAGGTGTACTGAAGGAGTTGCCCACAAAGTACTGCAAATCATAAGAACAATAAACAATTGTGGTCAGTTTGTTGAATAACCAGTGTTCTCCCAATTGAAAAATTTTTACTGGAAAATTTGACCATATAAAGCCAGCTAAGTGCATGCAACGTGAGGTGTTGGCTCTTTTATGTGGTCCGTTCAATGGCTTCAAAAAACAATTACATATAATCATAGCCTAGGCCTGGAATGGAATGATGTTCATTTATTGAAAGAGGCCAGTCTAGGCTACCTAGGCCTAATAAGTGCTTTTTTTATTCTACAAACACAAGTTTTACTGGTTGGTCAGTTATTTTTACTGGTAAAATTGACGGCTAAAACAGCTTCAGGAGGACACTAATAATGTAGGTATTGAAGTAAAAGTAAAATTAAAAGTTGTTTTTGATTTCTGTTTTTTTCTTTTTGCATCTTCTCTTTTTATATTTTGTCTGTTTTTGTATAATAATGCATAAGTGAATAAGAAATTAAATGTCTTTTTACAGCTGCTCAATGGAAACATGACCTCAAAATCAGAAGTTGTATCCAAGATTCTTGATATTTGCTCTAATGGAAACTTACAGCTCCTACAAGAAATTCTTTCAGGTCGTAGCCAAAATGAAATCTTAGGACTCACCAATGCATCAGCACGTGATACCACACCACTTATCAATGCATGTATGAATCGCAATATAGATGTAATGTGCTACCTTTTGGACACATGTCATGTTGACATAGAGAAGGTCGGTGATGTGGTTGTAGAAAGCGAATTTGTTCAAGGTGCACCACCATTGTGGTGTGCAGCTGTTCTTGGAGATCTTCCCATGGTTACTGCTCTTGTTAAGCGAGGAGCGAATGTTGATCATGGCACTGTTTCATGTTCCTCTCCACTACGAGCAAGCAGCTACGGAGGATTCATTGATGTTGTAAAATACCTTGTGAAACAAGGTGGCGACATTGAGTTAGGTACGAGATATGGGACCACATGTTTAATGATTGCGAGCTACAAAAACCATGTTGACCTAGTGAAGTATTTTCTGAAACTAGGGGTTGATGTAAACCGGCGAACAATGCGGGATGAAAATGCTCTAGAATTTGCTGCAGAAGCAAATAACATGGAGATCATTAAGCTCTTGTTGAAAAATGGTGCTGATGCAAACTCAATCAACCACCGTAGCCTCACTCCGCTTACCTATATAGTTGAACGAAATGATTTAAGTACAGTAAAGCTGTTTCTTAAATATAAAGCCAGGTTTGAAATTGGTGAAAAGGGAGCGTCTCCTCTTATGAAAGCTGCAGCAGAGCGACATGAGTCTATCGTTGAATATTTTATATCTCGTCCAGAATGCTCAAAACTTGGAGCTATTGAAGCCCTTGAATTAATAGGTGCATCGGTTCTATGTCGAACAAACGACACAGAGAAGGCAGGAGCTTATTGGCGTCGTGCATTAACTATGAGGTTAAATGAGAATATTAAGAAGAGTTATGCAAGTAATAAACCCCCAAAAATTTTAACACCAAGATATTTAGAGAACATGTTGCAAAATGACGCCAAAGCGTATTCGATAGCTCTTGACATTTATGAGCAAATTCTAGGCCCAATTAATCCAGGAACGGTTAATGGGTTACGATACCGCGGTGCTGCATTAGCCGACACTGGACATTTTCAAGAAGCATACGAACTCTGGATGCATGCACTGACAAACTTGTTGACATATGATCGTTTGTTCTATTCACACACAAGTGATATGCTATTGTGGTTTGCGCGTGTCTTTAATGAAATACGTGATGAAAGCAGTGTGTCAGCATTTCCAACTTTTAGCCAAGTGTCGCTGGTTATTCAGTGCTGTGTCACAGAAATAAAAAGATGTGTTCAATTTTTAGGCCCAGCAAGTAAATACGAGATGCTCGTATTCAATAGCCTACCTGTAATTGTTCTCCACCTCATTTCAATTGCCCTGAGCCTGATTGAGTCTACATCTTTAGGCCCTGATTCAGATGAAATGTCTTATCTAAAAAAACTTGTCTACGAGCTGCTCCGACTGTCACCGAGGTCGAAAGATGCACAGTCCTTGATGCATATTGCTGTTGATAACACAGCCAGTAAGATTGGCAAATATCAAGTCCGAAAATTTCCTGACATTCATGTTGCTAAACTTCTATTGTTTTGTGGAGCCGATGCGAATGCGACAGACACTAACAAATCCACACCACTCCATGTCATAGCATCGGATGTTAAAACTGAAAGAAACATATGGCATGACATAATTTTGTTGCTCCTGAAGCATGACGCTCATTATGATACTCGCAACAATCAAGGAATGACTGCTAAAGATCTTGCTAACAAGAAAGATGTTGAGTGGGATTGGTGTCATGTCAAACTCACTACTTTGCAGTGCTTGGCTGCAACTGTCATTGTGCGGCATTCCATACCATACAAGGGTACTGTAACACCCGACTTGGAAAAATTTATCTGTATGCATTAGGTGGTGATTGAATATTTTTGAAGAATTAAAGAGTTCTGGGTTTTACTTTCAAGTCTTCATCAACACATGTCATATTAACATAGTGTCGGAAAAAATTACAATTTGAACCATTCTTCTCAGAACCAAATAAGATCAATTGAGATTTATGCCACATGGTGTACCAAAAGCATATAATAATTATTAAGTGTTGTTGTTTACACATATTATATAACTTTTATCTTATATTAATGTAGGTCCTATAAACAAAATAATGTGTTAAATATAATAATGTAGTTCGATCTTGATTGAGTGCACTTTGCTAAAAGCTTTAATGCACTTTACATTAGAAAAAAAATCGAAAGTTAAAAGAGAACTAGCAAAATGATTTTTTGTTCTGGAGGAGATTTTTGATATGCCATTAATAATAGAATCAACATTAAAATCGTTTTTTGGCAATTGTTTATGAAGTTATAGGCCACTATATACGATTTTACCGTGACGTCACTGGCGAAAAAGTAATAAAAAATCGTGTAAATAGCATGCATGCTACGTGCATGCTGTAACCATGGTTGTTGTAACTTGCATATAGGCCTATAACTGCATCAGCGGTTGTCAACAGAAGAGTTACAGCTATGGTTACAGCATGCACGCAAAGATTGTACGCGACGGATACCCTACGCGGTTTTATTTACACGATCTTTTGTTACTTTTTTTGCCAGTGACGTCACAATTAAATCTTATATAATGACTTATAACTCCATAAGAAATTGCCAAAAAGCGATTTTAAGGTTGATTATATTATAAATGGCATATCAAAATTCCCCTCTAATACAAAAAAATCATTTTGCTAGTTCTCTTTTAAGCAAAATATAAATTAAAAATATATAAGCTATCATCATCAGTTGTCTGTACATTTACAAGTTCATGGTTCTCTGAATTCCTCTAGTTTTTCTCTTTTTGTTATTCCTCTTTTTCTTCCATGTTGCAGTACCTTTTATGACCTCTCTCAATAGTCCTTTGCTATAATATCAAATCATATTTGATGACTCCCATATCACATTAATCAACCTTCTTTCACTCAGTACAGTACAGTACAGTAAAATACATCAAATCTGTAACACACAGAATGTGTGAATAGTATTAAAATATTGGATGTGCTTTCTATTATATACAGTACACTCAACATACAGTATATTCATATTATCTTGTATTGTATTATAATTCATATTTAGATAATTATCAGTGGCGGAACTAGGAGAGGGAAAGGGGAGGGGGAAATTTTAATGTTGTGATACATTATAATTGTATTTTAATTTTTACATTATAATTGTATTATAATTTTCTTGCTCAGTTTTCCTCCCACCCCAGTTTGGAAAAATGGACATTGTAAGATTGGCCAACAAAATTAATTGCTCCCATCGGTCTGTTATTTCAAGGCTGGCCACAAACAATGCATTTAACAAAATGTTTAAATTTGTAATAAATATAATGAACATTTAAATATTTAATAAGCTCATTTACAGAAGTGTTACCCGTAAATGTGTGTTGTGATACATTATAATTGTATTATTATCCGGTCAGCTATGGGAAAAAGTACTGTATTTCTCCGCTAAAATTTTACCCTGCCCCTCACTTGCCCCCCCCCCCCAGATTTCAGACTCTGGGGCTGCAACTGATAGTTATAATGTGTAATGGTATATTTTACATGTGCATGCTTTATGCAATATTTAGTCACTCCCACAGTTTTCAAAATTTAAAACATAATTACTATGATAATATTTCTCAACTTATTTTCTTAAAATGATAACCTGTACTTCATGAATAAATTGGCTTTCCTTATAACACTATTGTAGTGGAATGCTGTGAAAATTTTATATATTTATATTTTATTCAGGATATTAGGATTTGTATTTTCTCTCTTTGTGGGTGAAGTTCTGACAGCATGTGTATCTTTGCTATCATATTATACTTCTCTTCAGGTACTTCATGTACCTGTTTCTTGGCTTCCAAATTAATATTTCCTGTCTTATGCAAAATGGGTTACCCACATTTTAATGAACACAAATATGTACTACAGTATTATGGTATTTTCTTAAAGCAATAATGTTATTTATAATGATTATTTATGGATGAAGATAGTTAATTTCATGATTATGTGCAATATTTATGGATGAAGATAGTTAATTTCATGATTATGTGCAATTTATTAAAATACTATATACTGTGCTGTTGAACTGTTCAATTTCGTTAATTCATTTAAGAACATGCCAGTACCCGCTAACGGCTGAGATTATTACAACAAAGATATTTATTGGGATTGGTGTCAAAATCACTACACTGTAATATTTACTTATCACACTATACGCATAGTAACTTATTTTTGTGAGGGTGGTGGGGACAAAACCAGAAAACATAACGTAATTGATTTTTTTTCTGTCATTCGGTTGTCCATCGCCTGTTCAGACTAAAATACAAAACGGTATTATTTATCTTAAATTGACATTTTCAATGAAAAACCAATAATATACCTTATTATACACAATTTAATTCCATTATTATATTTTATTCTTTATTAACTCAAATTAACTGGAATTAATTCAATTAATAATTATAAATTGTGTTTTCTTAGTTCAGGTTTGAATTTATCAGAAATTCAATTACAGTATTACTAAAGTTGCAATTATATTACTTTTCAGAAATGATTCGTTCTTTATACATAAATAATAATAGGCTATTCTGTTGTAATTGCAAGCAATACAGTTTACTAAAATTGGTGTACACTTCGTGTTCAAATTCGAATCTCAGATAAAAATCAGAGAAGCGATGATGACAGTCTGTTTCCCAATCAATTGACATTCTCTCAGTTTGCGCATCAGTGTCCCGATAAGTCATGCACGATAGGATATGTTGCACAGTTCATTATTCCACAAACGTTTTTGCTAAGTTCCATCCAAAAATATCTGAGAAAAATAATTAGAATTATAGTATTTATTGTTAATGTTTAAATGTTAATAATTGGGGATGAATTTATTTTATTTGAATTTATGCAATAAAACAAGATAGATGTTTCACACGGTAATCCCACTTGGAGGAAACTACAAGGAAAGACTAATAAAGTACTGCGTATTATTCCTTTATTGTCAGTTATCAATCACTTTTCGATATTGTCATCCTATCTCAATGCAGTTGTAGTAAATCGAAAAGGCGGAGGGAAGAGGGCAAGCGTTGAATGAAGGTGATCCCTGTTCACTTTTTGGCATTAGACGTCCCAGTTCTATGACTAAAATGATTACATTACCGTACCCATCCATTCCCCACTTTGTTCCCCAAGAGTTCTTCACCATCCAGTAGCGCAACCCGTCGCCTGTTCTATCGTATCCGGTTATCAAGGCTACATGATTTACTTCATTTCCGCTGGTTGGACATGAGTCGCTAAAACAGAAATTAAGTCAAAAATAAATTATACCAACTTCGCTCGCTTACCCTCTATTATGTTAAACATCGCGATTAGTTTTGATAAAATAGAACCAAAAATTCATGACCACTAAAAGAAGATTGGCCTATTTACAGACGGAAATACTGTACACACATATTCTACGGAAATGTATCACGTGCCTAGATAAACCCCTAACGTCCAGGTTACATACCAGACAACGCATGGGTAAATGTAGTGGAGAACGTTATGCATCTACTGTGCCCAGCTTAAATTTTATAGTCATACACTTTTTTTTTAAATAAGAACACTGAGGTTGAAATTGCTTCAAAGTTAAGAACAAAATAAGAACAAATTGAGGCTGAGGTAAAATGTCAAATGAGGGTTTTTTTTTTTGGTTTTTTTCTTAATAGAAAAACCAACTAATTATATCCGTACCTTATATGTGCAGTAGGTGTAATGAATACTATACAATACCGTCTTTATTACAGTGCAGTAATATACTGCTGTAAAATAATGATGTTTGACGTTTCAAAAGTGTATAAAAATAAGCACACTTTGAACTTAAAATGGGCAAAAAAAAATGAATATATAAAAAATAAGTGTATAATATTTAGGTGGGATAAGAGGTAAGGCGATTAGTTTATAGGGCCTTACTAATTACTGTACATTTCTCTTCAAAATTATATATTTGTGACGTGTAGATATAGGAGGAAGTTTCTACATAGATACTTTTTGTTAATATGCTGCAAATATTATATACAGGGGGGTGGGGGCCAGGGGAGAGCTGCCCTCCCCCTCCCCGTCGGGTAGAAAAAGCACAATTCGTCGGGGAGAAAAACAAATATTTTCTACATATTAGTAGACTCTAAAGGCCAACAGACAGCGTCGTACGACGCAGCCCGACGCGTTTCATCGTCGGGGACAGTCTTGAGCCGTCGTGAGAAATGTTTAATATTTTACGACGCGACTGCCCCCGACGCAAACCATCGCGTCTACTCACACAGACCCGACGCGACAACAAATCGCGTCGAGTTGCGTCGTACGACGCTGTCTGAGCTTGCCTTAAAATCGATTAAATAAGCCTTTGAAACCCCTAAATCGTCAGAATTATCGGGGGCTCCGCCCCTGGACCATTTTCGAAACCTTTTAATTGAAGCTCGACCACGCCCACTTTGCTTTCTTCGGGGAAATCTGACCCTCGTCCGGGGGCACCGCCACCCACCCCCGTCGGGGACCTCGGTTCCCCAGTCGGCAAATCCTGGCGCCACTCCTGATTATATACTCTAAGGGTTCTAGAAAGTGATGAATTAGGAGAGGAACAGCTAACCACATTGAAAAGTTCAACTGATGACTCAATTAATCCATGTTAAACAAAAAAGTTGTTGATCGGTCGGTAGGCAAGAAGTGTGTTTTTTTTTAAAATATTTAATGAAACCACCCCCTTGATCATGCCAGGTTTTCAAATCCTTATGGAGGCAGGGCCGCATTTAAATTTACTTAACGGATCTTCCAGTGTATTGTTTGATTAGGTGCAATTTATACATATAACAGCCCCCTGTACGAAAAAATAAATGAAAGACAAAATAATTACAAAAATACATAGACCTAGCCAAGGTTAGATTATGGGCGAAAAGACGATATTTTGGTGAGTTTTGGCGAAATAAAAAAAAATGATTGGGCGATTGTTTTTAGTTTGGGAGGGGACGATTAACAACTTATGTTTTTTTTTACATGGCTTTATTGTGAGTCAAGCCCTCGTTGGTCAAGCCACGGGAATGAATGTGTGACATTGTAAACTTCGGTAAATCTTCGATAAATAACGACAATAAATTCATTATTTTTTCCTCAATTAAGCTGAAACATGAAATTATATATTTACTTCGTGGGCTGGAGATTATCTATGTTCTATGTTCTATTCTTCAGACCGGTAAGTTTCGAATCCCCGACATCATCTGACGCAATGTGTTACATCACTGTGATTTTAGGTTTTGAAATAAGCGTAGGCCTAATTATAATATAGATACGAACATACACTTCAATTCATTGGATGTCTTGTGCCAAAGTCGAAGTTCTGCGAGTAAGCACGAATTTCACCTACGCACGCCCGATTCCACGTCGCTGATAGGCCAGCTACATGGGCCATGAACTACGCTGATTTTGATACTTACTTTTGGTAAACGCCACTTTTGTAGAGGTGAAAGTTGTCGGGTACATGAAAACCAACTGCCATTGGACCGTCGTTCGCAGCTACATCAATCATATCCAACTCAGACACCTTGGAAAAGGGAAAATCAGAATAAATAGTGTCTTACTCACGATCTTCTTCAGTTTCAGGCCCACATTAATCCCATTACACCCTGTTGAAACGAAACATCCCGAGCTCTAAATCTTTGATTGCGCACTCGTAAAAGAACAACTTTCTTACCGCTGTGACGTTGATAACAGTTGCGACGTAAGCAATGGTTCGGCTGCTGTTTTTATTACACGGACCGTCCTAAAATATAAAATACTTAGGACTTTCAAATGACAAATTCAAAATTCATAATTTATTCAACAAGTGAGAGTCGGATAGGTGTATTTTTTTCATTTCAAGTGCATTTTAATAAGTTAGGGGCTAACATCTTATATTTATATTATAGGTATAAGAAGATCTTGTAGCCTAGGAACGGCTACCAGTAAAGTAGATGCTATGTATAAAATTAAGTATCGTTTTATGGCCATACATACCTGTCCTCTATAAGGATAATCCTTTTCTTGAGCGATGCCAAAATGATAATATATGTATTCTAATCCATTTGACGCTAGCCCACTAATAAAAGAATATCCGTCAATAATTAAGGATATACTATTGCTAATATTGCTTACATTGTATATTTAAGGATAGCTTCCAGATAAGAAAAATAATGCTAATTATTTTGGTCTATAACAGAGGATTAATACCGGGTAACTAGCTAACTAGTAAATTATGTATTCCTAAAACAAATAAACTCAATTTTATGAAGGATGTCATATTTTTACGGTGTTTGTAAAGCCAAATAATCTAAATCAAATCAGGCAATCACATAATTATTTTGTTTGTTTAAGCATCACTCAAAATAATAATTGTATTTTGAAATCAATAAGCGGAAGTTGAGCTACAACAATAAATTTAGGCCTAGGCCTACATAAAATAATTTCAAAGGCCTACCCAGAACATCCATAGTTGTTATATTGAGAGGAACAGTCAATGAGCTGCTGTGCCGACAATGGGAACAAAGTACTGTACAGGATTGCTGTCGCACTAGCTAGGGTATCAGCTGAAGCAAATGCCCACCCGGACGCACAAGATGTTCCCTAGAAACACAGAAAGAAAACTTATGCCAAGATATTCTCACGACTAGAAAGCCAAACTCCATAATTTTTTGGGGTTATAATGGAAAAATAAAATTTTACTAATGAAACTGAATTTCATAATCTGTATACGGCCAGTTATTATATACCCTTTTCTATCAAAACATTGAATAAAGGAAATGTTATCGTGCAAAAGCCAACGCAATACCATTCCTGTTCTTTTTGCATAGGCCCATGTTATAGCTAGCAAGGTACGGTAAGTAATACCGAGACCTATTAAAATAAATCAACAAACCTGGTCAAAAACACCATTTACTACAGGAAAAGGATAATCATTCCAGTCATTGGACTTCGGGAAAGGGCCCTTGCGTCGCGGATGATTGCCTTTCTTGAAGAAGCAATTCTGAGAAAGAAAGACACTAATTTCACGAACAAAAACAAAATAAAATCGGTTTAGGCTGCATTTCTCATACGGTAAGCCTTGATAAGCTATCAAAAATATATTCAAAATTAAATATATAGCAGCCAATTACAGTTTGCTAAGAATAATTATGTATGTTTAGAAGGAAAGTTACCAGTGGAGCATTCATGAGGTAAAGGTTGGAGAATTCTTCAAAATCCATATCAGTGAAAGACGTTATTCCAACTGAAATTAATCAAACACTTACACTTGAGAAAGTTATGGTAACAATAACAATGATAGTTACAATTCAAATAAAAATACAACAAATGTTCGCGGACACACCCGGTGGCTTTAATTTAGCACTTCTAAATGCCTGTGATTATAAGGTATGAACCATTTTACGGGTGTAATATGCTTTACAGAAACTTACGTTTATAAGTCTCATTTCGTCTATTTTGAGTCTCTATCACCTTAAGGTTATTTTCAAATATCTTCAATCGTCTTTCATATTCCTCGGCGGTATCATACTGCTTATCATTCTGAACAAGAAGAGAGTTGGTTTTAGTTGGACTGGTTGAACGTGCACAAACTTATAGAAACATATATCCATATGCTAAAACTATATTGATACAGCACTATACAATTGAAACCGGTTTTTCATTTTATGGTATAACACCTCCAGTATTTTTGCTAGATTTGTTACTTGTTTATGAAAGAAAATAATAACAATAATAACAGGCAGCACCGTGGGATTACCGAAGTAATCATCTTTGCCTTAATGAAATTAAGTGTCTATGAGGCCCCACAGAGAGAGATCTGGATAAGGCGTAACTAAACAACTTGGATACAAAAATAGTCCTACCTCTTTCAGCCAATCATCGAACACTGGCCGTTTACTTCCTAAAAGTATAAAAGAAGATAAGCCTGTAAATAGTGTGTTTGGTCTAAAATTTACCTAATAACATTCAAAAGTGCAATGAACCAATGCAGATGTCACGAAAAATAAGAGAAAGAATAATGAGTGAACAATGAAGGAAAGATACAGTAAAACCCCTACAGGACACTTTCGGGACCAAACAAAAGTGTCCCCTTATTATAGGAGTGTCCCCTGAAACAGGACAAGAAAACATCTGCCTCAGACGTCGGTTGGGGGGGGGGGGGTTCTTTAAGGTTAGATAGCATTTCTCCGTGTTTTCAAATATTGTATTTATTCGAATAAATTGTTGAAAAGGGTTTTTGAGGGAGGAGTTTATTTTATTTTGTGTGTGTGTGTGTAAAATGGATACGTGTGTATACCGTATTCGAATAAATTTCACTGTAAATTTGGACACAATTACCATTAAAATGTGTTATTGCGTGAACATCTAAACTTAACCAGGTTAGAAAAAAATGTACGAATTCTATTTGAGTAAAACAATAAAAGAATGTGTTGAGTATGAGGATGCTTCCAATTTACAGTCAGTTTACAAACAGTCGGAGGGGGGGGGCTGGGGGGGGGGGGTATTCGAAAAAAGCAATAAACGCCCGGATCGTTATTCGAGAGAGGCGTTTATTCCAAATAAGGTATTGAAGGGGGCGTTTACTGAAAGCGGAGCAATTATTCTAATAAATACGGTATTCAAGAATGCCTATGCTAATACTATAGCCTGTTGGCTATAGCGTATTACAGTATAGGCCGGTATTCACCAACACTATAAGTAGCCTACTGTATACAGCTCTTAATATAGCGCCATGAGTTGATGTTTTAGGATACAATGTTTCGCATCTTATCTTACCATTTGCTGAAGACACGTCCACAGCCACTAAGACGACGCAAACCAGGTGTGTTACAGACATATTGTTTACCTGTTATGTAGGCCTACTAATCTATAATTCTACACAATCATTTATCTGTGTAAACGGTTGCCATTATGATAGCCGGATCATATTGTAATATATTTTACTATCAAAGTTAAACAAGATAACTCGCACCACAAAACGCCTACTGCACAGTAGGGCCTAGTTGAGATTGCTTATACAGTTTTATAATAAAAATATTATTGATATAAGCAGCTATATTTATGAAAATAATAATGCAATATATACCTTATATTTTATAACAGAATTAAATTTAGCAACAATCATCATGAGTGTTCGCCTTCAACATTGTCTCCATATTTTCCAATTACAGTAGAACCTCGATTTTACGTACGGTACGGGACCAGAGGGCGTACGTAAATCGGGGGATTCGTAAAATAGAGGTTGGGTTAAATTTGTGGTAACCTTTGACCTAATACCTACGTAACGCTCAATAAACGTATGTACGAACGAACTATGATACCTAGGCTAGACCAAGCCTCTAGGCCTACGAATAAAGCCATGTGTTTAGTGTTCTTATTCATCACTTTACAATGTCATAATAAAGTGTTCAAGTAAAACCATGTGTCTAGTGTATTAATTCATCACTTTATATCTTTTATTTAACTAAAATAAAGACATTACAATTTGTTTTGTGTTCCAAAAATCCGGCCCGAAATCGCTAAACGGTGAGAAATCGCTGAAAATCAGCCCTTTTTGAGCAGTTTTTTTAACGTATCTTTGTTAATATTAGACCGATTTTTTTGGCAGTTTTTGAAACTTGTTCCTTATTTATTCAGCTATAATGTCATGTTATTTTTAATTTTAAAATCAATGAGGTGTCGTCGGAATCTTTTTTTTAAGCCAAGTCAGTTGGCGATCGCCCAGTGTATTAAC